TACGTACCTTGGTGTTTAAATGTTGAGTCACTTATCTAAGAGTTGGGCTGTTGTTCTTCACATTGCATGTGTCTTTTGCATGGGCAGAGAAGCCTAAACATTGCTCTTAAATGTCGTTGTCCTAATAATCTCAGCTGCATTGTAAACTGTTCCCACACATAGTGCCTTAAATATTTGAGGTTGTTAATGTTATTACTTATATATCAATGTTGAGGACTGCAGCACTTAAAAATTCAGATCTGCTGATTTTTTGATAGCGTATTGCTCATTTTGGGTTTTGTGTGGTATGATTTTAGTATTTGGTGTTTTTTCCTTATCGAGAAGGCAGCGTGTTTTGCTGTAGCTGAACTTGGCTGTCTTTTTTTCCCAGAATGATCTAGCTTCAAGAAAAGATTTTAGTAGCGCTTAAGAAAAGTTGATTCAGTAGCTCTTGAGTTGTGACACACAGCACAGTATTCCATGCTGTTCAATGGAACTGCAGTACAATCTGAGTAGTCTGTTTTAAAAGTGTTTGTCCAATTGGGTATAATCAAATGTTGGAGGTGCGGTAGGCGTGACTGACCAGGTGATGAGAGAAAGGCCAAGTGCTCGTCGACTCATGATGTGGTTTCATCTTAGCTTGAGCGAACCGTGCAGTATTCAGTAACTAGTAGCAGAATATTTACTATTGAAGCTTGAAGAGATGTGAGTTCTTTGTGTGCAATCTTTCATTTATGCATGGGAGAGGTTTTAGCCTTTTTACATCCTAGTATTTGTTTCAGCCTGTTGCGGGTGTTTGCTTATTTAATACATTCCGTCAGGGACGTCAGTTACATGCTTCTGGCATTTTGCTTTTCCTTAGGAGGTGTCTCTTTCCGTTTCTCATTCTGTTCAAATGAAGTTGCTTTTGCAGCACCAAAGACTTAATCATCCATTTCCTATAAAAGGTAGCTACTTTTTCATAGACCTCAAGTATACTGTAGTGTAGAGATGGGTTTTAAAGAAGGTATTAAACTGAGGCTGTGTTTTAGCTTATGGGCAAGTAATAAATTGTATCATTTATCTTGAATGTATCATAGATAAGCTGCTATATAATGATTGCCACTTCAGATAGCTGTGAAATTAGGTGATTAACTAGTTCTTTCTTAGCCTTCTAATTTCTGTACAAGTCTAATTACATGAAATAGGAGCCGGGTTTTGGGTTGTTCTTTTTTTTTTTTTTTAATTCTTTTTTTCATGTTTGAAGTGTCGTAACTACTATACTGTAAATGAGGAAAGATGATTGCATATGTTTTTTTGGGGTGTGTTATTTGCATCAGTATTTTATCTCCATTAACTTTGAGCTCATCACTGCATATAAATGGATGTATTGATGTAACTTAATTTTTTTTTTATGTTTTCATATTGGCATTGTGTAGACACTTAAGAAGCTGCATCTTGCAGGCTTGACTTAACTTTTTTTTAAAACAAAATCTGGAATACAATCTTTGCGATGTTGACTGGAATAAGAGTGCAAAGCATTTGAGTTTAACTCTGTCAATAAGCTAATAACTGGTAAACTTTTTCTTTACTCCACTAACACAAGCAGTGTTTTATTTAACGAATGTCTGAATGAAATAAATGTGCCTACATTTGATTTATTTTTTAAGTAATAACTAAAATACAACAGTATTAGATCATAAAAAATAAAATACCAGCAGTACATTTTTAATCACACTGAAAATTAAGAAACCTAACTTTTCCCAAAAGTTTCAGTGTTTTTAGTAATCAACTCTATGCATTTTGTACAAGTATCAATGTATATATAAAGAACGCATTAGAAACTAGGAGCATCCTGATTAATTTGAAATCTCACCAACCTATCTGTGGAGCCTAAATACACCGAGTCGAGAGCATGCTCTGATTGGATCCCCACCTTGCCACTTCCAACCTGTGCTACACGGTCCAGCAGATTGCTTTTTGTTAGCTCCCTCACGTTGGGAATTGACACTTTTCTGGTGCTTACTCCATTGCAGGCAATGGACACACCACGAATCACCAATGCAAACGGAGTCGATGAATTTTGTATTGTGATAACAAAAAAAAAAGAAAATAATAATAAAAAATACCGCATTGTTTTTTTCCGGGGCCATGGGGATGTCGTTGGTCTGATGTACTTACTGTGCTTTCTTTTTAACGTGCTTAAGGTCTGAAGCTACTGTGCTTGTTAAATTGACACCATTACCTGTATGTCAACAGCGCCCTGCCCTGCGCAGACAGAGCTGCTGCGAACGATGCCCCACGTCAGGTCTGCTGCTCTTTCTACACACGGTAGCTTTAGGGATGTCTGCCTTTCAGTGGGCGGCGTAATTGGGATTCTGCCACAGCTCAAATTCAGCCTGCTGGGTGACTTTTCCCCAGTCCTGCAGTGCATCCCAAGAGCGTGGATCCTTGTGTCCAGGGCCCACCTGCAGGAAAAAAGCGTTAGGCAGAGGGCCGGTTCCTGGAGGAAAACAAAAGTCATCCTCTGAGAAGCGTTTGCACGTCTTACTGTTTTATTGCCTTTTTTAAATAAAACACTGCATGACTACAGAACTGCATATCTGCATATTACTTTAATTTGCAAGATTTTGTATGAATTTCTTGTGTTCGGTTTTTAACTTCAGGGTGTTTTATCGGTCAAATATGCTACTGTATTAACTTTTTTTTTTTTTTTGGGTTTTAATTTTTAAACTTTCTGTTTATACTGCTAATTAACTTGGTTTGTGTTAAGCAAAAGTTAAATCACGCTGCAAGCTGTAGGAAGACTTGTTCTAGAATTACCCAGTGATAAAGACTTGATTAATGAGTTTGAACTGTTACTGTTTAACAATTTGTAGACTCGTGGCTTTCTTTTTTCTCCTTTTCCTTTTGTTCTTTTTTTGTTTGTTTGTTTGCTTTGGATTTCTATGCTACACTAGTTCGCCATGTAGCAATTGCACTGTGCAATATTACAATATGAGGACTGGGAAAATTTTTTATGGATGTAATGTCTCTTACAGTTTGCGATAGTAATTCTTTCTAGTTCTCAGTGATTTAAATGTGACCAAGCCTTCTGTACTTTGTCACAAAAAGCGGGTTTTCCAGGTGACTATTTTGGTGAGTGTCAAAATAAGAATTTATGGTGTATTACTGTCGAGATTCACTTTGAATTAAAATATATATTGCAGCAAATGCGTTTTGGTGACTTTGATTTCCTTGTTGTGTTACGTCAGGGCTGTGGGCTGAGGCAAAGGCAATGGAAATTCACGTGTGGGGCTCCAGCTCTTGAATTCCAGTATATTATAATATTAGTATATTATAATTTCAGCCAAGCTTCTCCATTTCTGAACACTGCAGGGCTGGCATCAGCCATGGGTACCGAGCATGCCCCTGGATGTTGCTATCAGTCATCTTCTGTACATGCCCCTTTCTCCCCTTTCTCCAGTGCCAAGTGGTCAGACCATCTGATAAAGCCCCTTCCTGCAACGCTGCCCCTTGGAACGTGTGAAAGCACAGCTCTGCCCAAATAGTAGATGCGTGCTTTGCTTTGAAAGCTGCTTTCTTCTCATTCCTTGTGTTCAGGTGTGCATACTGTATGATTTTAAATTAATTAATGCTGGTTTTGTACCTTGCATTTCTCACAGAAAGTGAGGCCGTAGTTGTGGTGTATTTTTCATTCTTTGTTGTGGAAATAGCAAACACAGCAGGGCTGCCTGTGAAATCCTTCCTGTGCTTGGTTTAACAGTAGTGTCCAGCTGTCCCTGTGGGGTGGAGGAACAGGGCTGTGGAAGGCAATTAGGAATAAGTAATCTTCCTCTCAACTGAGGATAACTCAACCACCACTGGTTCAAAGTGTGGAGAGCATTTTTCCTGTCACTAACTGCACAGGACAAATCCATACTGGTCTTGCAATAGCATTCATTCAGTGAAAATCTTTTTAGAGCCAATGAAGGTTGTCACACGCTGCAGAAGTGTAGTGGGACAAGCTGGCTGAGGACGATGCTTTGTTTTATCAGTGAATTAGCTTTGGTTTTCAGCTGGAGAGGTGGTCAGTGTGTGGGAAGCAACAGAGGAGCTACTGTTCCCTATCACTCACAAAGCAGTAAGGCCTATGTTGACGATGATGGCAAATCTGCATTAACCAGCGCAGCTCAGACATACAGCAATTTCCACTCCTGCAATGAATTAAGGCAGCACTGGGCAAAGTATGGACATGGTACTAGGCAGAGCTTGTGCTTCCCTACTGGCTGAATGTCTCACACACATTCTGCGAGGTTCAGAGCTCTGGGGATGCTGGAGAAACAGCAAGTGACACTGTGAGCTGCATGGGCAGCATGAGAGGAGTTAGATCCTGCACAGTACGTCAAGGTAAGGCTGGGTGGGGACCCACGATCTCCCTGCCATTGGCAAGATGTGTTTTATCTCTCAGTAGCTCTGACTCTGATGGTTCTAAAAGCCTCAGTCTCGGGAACAGCATAGACTCTCTTCAGTAGAGAGTAATGAGGCTGGGTTTTATTTGTCATTTCAGCTAGAATCGTTCACGTCAACCTACAGCTCAAAGAACGTGGAGTTCTTGGCCAACGAGGGGAGATCGTCACCGGCACAGGGATTTATCCACGGGGATTTTGTTACGGCAAAAGCTAGAAAGGATGTGAAGGAACCGGTTTTAGATGGGAGACAACGCGAGGGCAGAGCTGCGGCCGCCAGGGGGCACCGAGGCGCCGGGCCGCCCGCTCTGCTCTCAGCCGTGGAACTGCCATCTTTTCTTTGTGATAATCGCTATCGCTCATCACTTGCAAAGAGCGAGCGGAACGGCACAAACGGGCCGGATGGGCGCCGGGCACGGCGGGGAGGGCGGGCAGCCTTTCCTCGCGCCGGGCTCTCGAGCCGCAGCCCGTGATGCCGCTGTCCCGTGTCACCGTGTCGCGGTGCCGGGGTGTCCCGCCGGCGCCGCCCCGCCGCGCGCTGCCCGCCCCTCGCGTTCGGCGGCGCCGTGCAGCGCCGTGTGGACGAAACTCCTCGCCGCCCGCCCGCGGCCGGAGGGCTCGCGCCGCTGAGGGCAGCGCATCCTGCGGCGTTGGCCGCTGGCACCATGCGGACCTCCCCGCTCCTCCTCCTCCTCCTCCTCCCGGCGCAGCCCTTGCTCTAGAGCCCGGTGCGGCGGGGATGCTGCGGCGGGAGGCGGGCGGCGGGGCTCACCCCGCGGGGCCCCGCTCCGCTCCCGGCTCCCCGCGCCGGGCCCCGGCCGCCGTGCTGCTGCCTCCGCTGCTGCTGGTCGCCATCGTCGCGCTCGCACCCGGCGCCCGCGCGGATCGGGGTAAGGAGCCGAGGCCGGGCGGGGGATGCCGGGCTGGCCGTCGCCGTGGGACCGTCGGGCTGAGGGGCGCGGGAGGGTTTGTGTGTGTGTGTATAATATGTGTGTGTAATGTGTGTGTATGCGTGCCCATGTGTGTCCGTGTGTCCCCGTACCCCCGCTGACCTCCGTGCAGGCGCGGTTCCCTCGGGCAGCGGCTGTGTGCGCCCACAGGCGCCGAGCGCGGTGCTGGGCTGGGCTGGAGCGTAGGAAGAGGCTGAGCCCGACACGGGGCCGCGTTTAGGGAGAGAAATAGCAGCGTGGTCCGCGCTCGGAGGCTGTTAGTGTGGGGATGTGCGGCGGTGCCGGTTCTGCAGCCGGACCGAGGCGTTTCGTCTTTTACTGTGCTCGACAATTCGGTCTGCGTTTCGTATGAACTCTTTCTCCACGTCTGAATTACGAAACGTCCCCTGCTCAGAGCAGCCGATCCCTCATGGCTGCTTTTTAAAGCCCAGCTATCGCTGGCAGTGGGGCGCGATGCCTCCTCGCGCATCGCCGGAGGAGCCGACACGAGAGCCGTGCCGTTGTTCCTTTGCCGTCTGCGTGCCCGTGTGTAACACACTGCTGAGCCCTGTGCCTGTATCCATCGGTGGGAGATCCGAAGCTGTTTGAAAATATCACTGTGGGCATCGCATTGCCTGCAGCTTGGGAAGAAAAGGTGGGAAGCTAACGTTGGCACTGATCACAGCCCACAGTGACAGCACGCATAACAGGCAGAGTGAGAAATCCCACCACCGGTGGCACTGCGTGGGGACTGTGGATGGTCGAGCAGCTATGCTGAGGTGCTTGATCCAATGCAGTGAACGGGTTTTTGGGAGCTGCAGCTGAGATTGCATGCAGTGCACTGTTAGTCCTATCCAGCATTTATTGGTAACTGTTGTGGTGCATAATTTGGGCTCCAATCAGCGTGACGAGCTCTGTCCTCCAGAGAGGCAGAGCACATCAGCGCTGTCTCCTGTTGAAACTAGGGGCAAAGTGTATGGCTAGGATTCATCCAAGAACACTCATTTTGTCTAAGGTTGGCTTCTGTATGTTTGTGTAGGCCAGGCTCCGTGTCATTCTGGATTTCTGTTAAGAAAATATGCTTGTACTGGTTTCTGTGACTGTTACTGTGATGTAAATGGCTCCTGCAGCAGGTCTACTGGCGTGAGGTCTGAGTGGTGTTAAGTGGTGCCTTAAGCAATGGGAAAAACATTTGTCCCACAGTGTTTTTAAAACAGCTTTTTCCATGAGAGTATTCCTATATATGGGAAAATGACCTATGTGCAGCATGTGGCATCACTGTGAGCGAGGACAAAGCGGAGAACTCAGGGCATGTGGGGTGAAGCCTCACCTGCTGCCAGTGCTTCAGGAGGCAGATCACAGGTTGCACAGCTGTGGTAGCAATGCTTCCCTCAGCCTCGGGGAAAATCCAACACAAGGGAAGAGATCTCCCTGCCAGGAGCTCCCAGCAGGACGAGGTATGGGGCTCTGCAGGTTGGCTTTCCCATATCTGTGACTTTGAGCCAGACCTCAGTGCTTTCACCATCAAATGTGGAGCGGCTGGATTTCCAGCTGTTGGTGAAAAGATTGAATGATTTTTAATTTCAGAAATTTTTCACACTTCTTGACCTGAAGACTTACTGGGCTTCATTTTCCTCCATGCTTTTTGTTTGTTTGTTTGGCCTCTACAAATGATAAACTTGTCAGAGAAACCTCTCTTTCTTCTTGTGTGTCTGCTGAACACCAGCACAGTGAGATCTCATCTTAATTAACAGCAATTCCAAACCCAGTGACGCTGCCTCCAGCACAGCTCTCGCAGCTGGAGCTTTGGCTGAACAACTTGGAGAGCGCTTTGTGCCAAGTGCTAAATTGCCACTGCCAGCTCCTGTGGCCCATGGGGTCTCAGTGGATGGCAGTGACCTGAGCACACCGCCTGAACTGTGCTACAGGTGCTGCAGAAGTGAGGGCCAGGAGTGGATTTGGGCACAGGTTGGTCCCTGGATGTGCTTCTGTGTGGGGGAAAGAGAAGAGGGTGTATATAGAGGTAGGATTCTGCTACCCAGCACTGTGAGCCCAGGATTTGATGAAATCTGTAATTTCAGTTTGTTTTTTTAGTGTTCTGTCTGATTAGCTCAACAAGGGTAAAATACATGTGGACACTCTGTCGAAGGATGTGCAGATGAACAATGAGAAGTTCAATTTCTGACTCTTTATTCAAGATAATATGGGGATCAACAGCGTGGGTGGAAAGAATTTGGCCTCCAGCAGCACACAGAAGATGCTTCTTGTGGGTTTAATGGGTACACTGGATTTTGGCTGACCAGTCAGTAGTTACCTTGCTCCCACTACTTCCTTGGATCTGAGTTATTCTCCACATTAGTTTACAAAAATAACCCTGGCTTTAGCACTCGCTTGGATACAAGATACTTCAAATTCATGTGTGCTGAAACAACTGTGACAAAAGTGTTCTTGTTAGATTACAGGAAGCAACCTGGATCTTTGATGAGGCTGTTGTCCATGTTTTGTCTGTACAGAATGCTCACTGCTTGCCGTGGGGCAACGGTTAGTGAAGAACCTCTCAATCTTGTTGTGAACCACAGCCAGTCATCCAGAATCCCTGGTCTTCACTGCGCTGCTCTCTGAAATCTCAAACACCAGCTCGAGATCAGGTTGATGAACAAGGGGCAGGGGAGTGTGAGCAGTTTTCTGTTCGTGACATTTTCTTAGTCATGTGGGAATGGTTGTTTCTGCTGAAATAAATACTGATGATATTTGCATATGAATTTAGGCTTCAACATCCAAACATATCAACATTTCATTAAAAATAATGAGCATTCCAGTGTTTATTTACTGTTTTAACTCCCTTCTGCAGAGTCTGAGGAAGGAGCTACTGTGCTTGCTGAACTAATATGCACTTTATGTGTAACCCAGAGGGCGGTGAATCCAAAGGGACACCGCCTTCCTACTGGCAAGCTGGGATGCCGCTGATGGGCTTTGGACACAGGTCCACCCAATGGAGATATCCAGTTATAGGAAAACAGTATCTTCTGTACATCTCACACAAGTGGTTTGTTGCTAAAGTGGCTACAGTGTTTGTGGGACAGTTGGTCTTTATGTCAGAGGTTGCCTTTCTAGTGCTAATGGTAAGGGTCAGGTTCATGAAGAACAGAAAAATATCACTAAAAATCCCATTCTGGGAGAGGGAGGAAGGAATCGAAAATGAAAGAGCATTCAAAGATGGAAAACACAAAAATTCAGACTTAAAAGGCAGTGTATTAATTTCCACATTTTCTCCCACCTGTGTTGCTGTACACCAGAGACTTTCTACAATACCTCTTTGCTCATTTCATTGCCTATTAGCAATAGAGCAGCATTGCTCTTGTAGGGGGAATGACACAGTTGATTCACAGCCTGAACCTGTGATTGAGCACCTGAGGCGAGCACCCAGTCAGCCCTGGGAGCACAGGTGAAGGCAATTCAGCTGTGTGATCAGAAGGGGTGGAGCCTGGCTGCACCTCTCAGACCCCATTTAAGGGCTGACTGCCACTAAGGAAGGATTTCTCTCTGGAGATCTCTTCTCTTGGACTTTTTCCTGCAAGCCCAGCACACAGGTAAGCTTTTTTCATTCATTTTCAATTATCTCTTTCCAATGTGATAACTGGATATCTCTTTCCAGTTGTACGCTGTCTAAAGACCAGCCTAACTTCTCTGTGTATTTGTCAGTTATACATCTGTATACTCATTGATTACGTGCAGTCTTAGGTGATTTTTCCTCTACTTTTTCCTATGGATTCTTCATATTTAAGCAATGTAGACTTTCTTGCCATACAGCGCAGCATTTGGGTATTACCTTCAGGTTTGGTGCATCAGTGGGTGAAATAGCAGTAGGTCGACTTCTGAAATAGCTCCTATTTCCCTGCATATCTATGTGTTTTCTTTATAATGGCTGAAGGGCTTAGAGTCTGTGGTTCTGGTTGCTGTCTGGGATGCTCTGTTGTCATGATACACATGGATTGCGTGCGTTGTCATCCCATGCGCTCACACAATGGGATGGTGACAAAAAATTCCTGTAGGAAGCCAATACAGATGAAGATCCATCTGTAGATCAGTTCATTAAAAAGCAGCAGGGCTATTTTGCATCATTGCGTCAGCAGTACGTTGTTTTCATTGCAGTGTCTTCTACATGCATATAAATAAAATGCCTTCAATTAATTTGTAAATGAAAAGTATGGATTTTGAAAACTCAAGCTTGTATATTAACCATCTTGGGTAACACAACCATAGTGTTTTTATAAATCTGTGTGACCTCACAGATGTTAAGATACAGATTATGTAAGTATGCAAGTCAAAGGAGAGGTGAAACATTTAAATGCATGGAAATTAAAATGTCAAGAGACATGTGCCTAAGAAATGACAAGCAAAGATTGTTGCATTAGTTTTCACTGATAGCTATGAAACAATGAAATAACTGAGGCTGATAAAATATGCTGGCAACCAACGTAGAGATGGCAAGAAAAGTGCTGGGAAACTGAAGTTGATCCTTGGGAACAGAATGCTACCGAACAGCTGTTTTGTGCTTTGAAAGGTATAAAAATGGCTGAGATTGTTGTGTTGTTTGTAGCCAAAGTTCCGAGAAGCTGATAAAAAAGAAACCATTTTAGGCTTGCCTAGTTCCTTCTTGCTACAGCTTGCTTTTGATCAGATGAGCAGCTTAGGCTGATGAAGGTACTTGTGCTGCAAGCCTGATATTTATAAGGGTCGTGGCTGGTGAAGAAAGAGAATGCATTTTTACAGTTCTCTACCACAGTTGTGTCTTCAGTGAGTGGTCTTTAAGCACTGATCAGAGTTTTGATGGGGTGCTTTTGTGGATCTACAGTTACAAAGGAAAGTGTTACTGTCTATCCTTGCCTCTTATTTTGTGTCTATTGAAAGAAGCTCTTGGACTCCTGTTGCATAATTAATATGAAAATATCGAGTGCTTT